AACAGGCTGCAAGCAAGTCTAGTAACTTAATATCTGTTCAGTCTATAGAACCTCTTGTAGAGACGATTTGCAATATAAGCAACCGAGACACGAAAGTCCTCATGTCGTTTGAAGAAAGAACAACAGACAACAAACCAGTATTACAGAAACGGTTTTTTGATGTGAGTACACGCACTGTACTAATAAAAAGTATTGATGCAATAAATCATTGACACAGCTATCTAAACAAACCACACAATGCATTGTGCATCAATCTCAAAATGACAAAGAAGATTGAATAATCTATTTTTTCATGAATTAATCTTGGAACACAAAAAGCACATGCTTGGCTGTTATCATTTGTGCTTTTATTTCGCAATGTTGGTAGCCTTTATTAAAAGGTTAGCGAATATGCACCTGTGGGTATGAAATACAGTACTATGCATCACACTAACTTAGAGAATTGGTAGAGAATTCCACAACCGGTCAGTAGTATGGAAAATGCTGTGTATTCATTTATATGCATAAATCACCTAGTTTAACATGGCGAAAGATCGTTGTGTCATTCTAATTATTATACTTTACATATTTCCCGATTTCTATTGATAAAAACATGTATATTAATCATGTCTGACGTCTCATTACCCTAATAGGCGGTTTGCGGGATTCAGTATCACGTGGTATTTTTGTCCAATTACGACGTCATACAATATCATAATGCTGTCTCGTTCGTAGCCAGTCGTACAATACTTATTAAAAATCGTCCTCAAATATCCATATTTTGAAACCACTGCGTGATAAGTAAATATAAATCCTGAAAATAACTGCGAAATCCTGAAAAAAAATGCATTCATTTGGCTAAGTTATGTGTATACACGAGGCTGAGAACGTGAGCGGTATGAAGCAACTGCGAACGAGTTTACAAGCTGTTGATGTAGTCGGACACGGGCACTAGAAACCTATAGTATATTTGTCAACACTGTAGTGGGGAAAGTAGTAGTCCAGAACCTTTAACGCACCAGCTGTTGCGTAACATAAGCTGTTAACCTCTTCCGAATGTAACCTCCTGGGCAGTGATACAATCCAAATGTCTGATATTGATTAGTTGAAGCATTTAGATATAAAAAAAGAATATTTTTACTATGTAACTTAATATGTTTCACTAATTTTATTTTGTATTGTTTAGCTAATTGAAAAAGAATTTGAAATTGGGAAGATTGGATTAGACCGGCAAGATGAAGTTTATAGAAGTGACGATATTCATATAATCATGATGACAAAACGATGACATCACTGTTGTAACCACGAGTGTTAATGGAATTATATACTCATTGTATACTAAGAAACTTTCCCACTAATTCTTGTGTAGCTGAGATCGTACATTACACGATGATCAAGATGCAACAATTAAAAAGCTGACCCTTGTGATACTACGAACTTCGTAGTAATAACCATGGCAACGTTCACGTTCACAGTCAAATGACTAACGCTACTTTATCTGTCAAGCATGTTTTACCAGTGCCATTTATAAGTCAAGGAGTGTCTTGTAAAGCTGTGCCTGATTGGCTACACAATCCTAACACCGGAAGCCAATCAGAAAGCAGCTTGTATATTGAAAGGTTCTGTCAACAAATCAAATAATGTCTTGTATAAATGCTTCGACTCAAATGCCATTTGTGAGAGTGAAAGTTCATCGTCTGGACCACCTGTTCGTATGTGCGTGTATATCTCGCTGTATATTTACTTGTGATTATGACCTATTACTCGACCATGACAATGTGTGTATTTACATTCACGTGTTATAAAATAACAAACCATGCAAAACACATTGTCAGTGATCGATTCGGAAAATAAAAAAGATAATGAAATTATTAAATTATCCGACTAATTAGTAATAGTCCCTGTTCGGACGCAATCTGAAAACGAGCATTTGTGGATTGACCTCCATGCGTGCGTGCGTCCCCCATCTGTATTTCTGAAATGCCTGGACATTCGTGTCACGATCCGGTACAAGATGGCCATTTATCAAAATCATTTTGGCCATCTCGGAACCAAATCTCGGTCGTATGGATGGGTTACATTCAAATTTGGTACATGCATTGGACATTATAGGATCTTGATGCATGTTTTTCAGATGACCCACTTGGCTGCGTCTATTTAGTTTTAACGAATGGTGTTCAAGAGCCATATCTCTTATTTCAGCATGCCTTTCCATTATATTACATTCATACATTAGACATACACCATACCACACATGCATTCGTTATGATGGCCGAATGACGGCCATTTTAATGTTATAAATGCATCAAAATCCATATCCCGGGTCTGGGTTATACATGAACACCCATCATTCAAACTTGGTACATACATTCACAACTACATTATACCACACATATTAACATACACATTTGTTCAGGTTCAGATTCAAATAGGCTGACTTATTTTAGTTTGTTGTTTTACTATTAAACTCTCGTCATGTCATTACAGAATCGTCTCAGTGCATTTGTTCATGTGTACCCGTGTTTCAGAAAACATCGAATGATCACATTCAAACTCCATTTGTGATTAATGCACCATGTCACGTATACATGCATTCATTTCGCTGATCTGTTTCAAGATGGCTGCCAGTTGGCCATTTTATAAATTTAATCTACGTCGATGAGTTTCATCAAATCTCGTGATGGGATGCTGCTGCTAATAGTTTTGTTGAATGGAAACATTGTATATGTCGTGATGTAGTAAACATTCATATTTAGAGAAATTCTTAGTGACTATCACTCGACTTACTGAATCATGCAAAAAACACCAGGTGACATTGCAACATGTCGGCATGTTCAAACACATGTGGATTTACAAATTTCGTACTTACAACACAGCGTAATAGAACTGTATCTAGTCTAGTTTATTTAGAAAAGGTTGCGGCAGTTGCATCGACTTGCATCGCAGAGGCCATTTTGACTAGTCGTGTAATTAGAGTGCTCGAAGAGTAGATCCGTAATCTTGTACAGATCCCGCGAGGGCTTCGTACACAACCACGTATAATGAGATTAACTCTTTATGTCCTAGATTTATTGCGCAATAGAAGAAACCCGGCGTTTGTCGTATGGTAGCATTTTATCGTTCTGCAAGGCGGTTTGAAAATTGTACAAATCAGTGCGCGGTGGTGTAGTTAAAAAAAACACATCAGTGGGTCAGTCACGGCACAGCTGATGTTCTCATCATGTATGGCGGCAGCCGGTCGGATTACCTGTTTTGAACATTTGCATAACAATTAAAGCAATATTCATATTCTTTATATTCAGATATGTTATTGTGCACGAGTAGGGTCAGACTTGCGCAGCGTAGTCTCACCCATACTACTGGACAGCGTACTTGATCACTCTGAACGAACATTGACGTGTTTTCATCCGGGAACAAAATGATGAAAAGCGAATCCGAAACAGTAGGAAGTGCGGTTTCTGTCGACACCAGCGCGATGTCGATCAAGACCAGAATAACGGAGGTCTACTTGCCCATGGTGAAAATGCGATGTAGTGATCTTTTTGAGAAAATGAAGGAATATTATCATAAAGGTCTTGAACGTTCAAAACATGCTTACAGCTGCACGTCGACAAAAATACGTCTGTGGTGGGGAGATTTTCAACTAACCACAACTGGTCGTCGTTTACGTCGACTGACGAAGTCGCCAAACATGCTACTTCGCATAGGTTTAATTACACTGGCTTTAGTAATCTTTTATTTATGGGCGAGCGGGTCGACGAATGATCATCAAATGGGCTATATTGTCAACGCCGAGAATCAACAGTTGTCGTATGTCTATCCACGTGTCTTTAACAATCCGGAACGTGATTTATTTATGATTGGTACGTTTCCGGAGGACTTTTTATGGGGAGTAGCTACGTCATCGTACCAAATTGAAGGGTCCGGTGATGTGCATGGTTTTTCGGGTAAAGGGGACAGCATTTGGGACACGTTCACTCATCGCCCTGGTAACGTCTACAACAACGAAAACGGCGATATCGCATGTGATAGCTACAACAAGTGGCATGAGGATATAGAGATGTTGGAGTATCTTGGAGTACAGGTTTACCGCTTTTCAATCAGTTGGCCGAGGATAATGCCTGACGGTACGCTATCTGTGGTTAACGAGGCTGGTATCGCTTATTATAACCGCTTGATTAATGCTCTGTTAGAAGCAGGTATCACGCCGGTTGTAACCTTGTACCATTGGGATCTTCCACAGGCCCTGCACGATAAATACGGCGGGTGGATGGATGAGCAGATAATACGAGATTTTAACTCATATGCCAGACTTTGCTTTGAACGGTTTGGTGATCGGGTGAAAACGTGGATCACTATCAACGAACCCTGGGTGATAACACAGTTGGGTTATGGAAGTGGTGCTCACGCCCCGGGGATAGCTGATGATGGATTTACTACGTATATTGTAGCACACAATTTGATCAAAGCACACGCAAAAGTATGGCACACCTACGATGACGAATTCAGGCACAACCAACAGGGTAGAATCGGAATCACTCTGAACTCTGACTGGGTCGAAGCAGCGGATCCTTTCGTTGCGAACCGTATGCTACAGTTCTCGATTGGATGGTTTGCTCACCCGATCTACGTAAACGGTGACTACCCAGAGGTTATGAAAACCGTAATTCTCGAGAAAAGCCGGATACAAGGCATGAATGACTCAAGCAGACTGCCTGAATTCACATCGGTCGAAAGCGAATTCATCCGGGGAACTTCTGACTTCTTTGGACTTAATCACTATACAACGGTGTATGCTACGGAAATGCCGGATGACGCAGACGCGACGCCGGGATGGGAGCAAGACGTTAATCTGGATAAGTGGTACAGACACAATTGGCCTGGATCAGCGTCGCCATGGCTTAAGGCCGTACCGTGGGGAATGAGGAGAATGTTGGAGTGGATTAAAATGGAGTACAACGACCCCAAAATATTCATCACCGAAAACGGCTACTCTACTAGTGATGCGAACGAATTAATAAATGACCAAAATCGCATGAATTACATAATGGCTTACGTGGACGAAGTATTGAAAGGTAAGATCTGTGTTTAATGAAAGGGGCCGCGTAATTCATGAGTATAACCCAGAACGTATATATCAATATTACATCGCAAAAAAGTATTCAACACAAATATTACATAACAATCTCAACTGACTAATGTCCTAAGCTCATAAATTGATAAAAAAAAATATTGTAAATTGTTCTCTGGGAATTCTCCAATTGTGCCGGTTTGAATATTTACAACGTGGACACTGCTTTTGCGTTGGGTTCAGCAACAGGTGACGTCACAATCGAATCGCCATTTCTCGTATATGATTTATCGTTCTATATTATGATATAATTCAAATCGATGTGAACGTATGTTACAACACTTGCAAGCATATTTAGCTATTTTCCCATAAATTTATTGTTATTTTAATTTAATTTTAGCAATTGAATTAGATCAAGTAAACGTTATAGGCTACTGTGCATGGTCACTGATGGATAACTTCGAGTGGGCAGCTGGATACAGCGAGAGATTTGGTCTATATTACGTCGACTTCAACGACGAGGATCGACCAAGGTACAAGAAAGAGTCTGCTATATTTTACTCTCAACTCGTTCATAACAATGGTTTTGTAAATTCTCTGTCAGTGGTGACGTCATCTTCGATATTTGTACTACTTACCGCGCAGCTAGCCGTGATTATGTCCACCTGCTTGTGTAGATAGGATTAACTATGAATCAATAGTGTGACGTCATGTGTCGAGGAGAATTATGGGATTAACAATGCACTAGAACAATTTATACCAAGGTAGTTCAATTGCCGATAAAAAACGACGAAGGCAACAATAATCGTGAAACGATAATTATAGTCGCCCGCGGCCCTGAGATATCACTGTCCGGAAATTGAGTAACGACCGACTCGTTGGCGTGTGTTCAAGGACCACAGACTGAATCCCGGACTTAGTGAATGGCCGATGATTTAGATTTATTAAAGAAAAATATAGACAAATACATATATTTTTTAATTTTGTTGTTTCACCAAATTGAATTATGATTCACCGTAAACTGAAAATAAAGCTTTTGCAGTACACACAATATCAAGCGTTAGATTAACAAAGAAACTAATATGTGCAGTGATTGTCATAGTACCAAATTAATCAATGCGCATGCGTAGTAAAGAATTTAATTGTTTCATTGAAGGAATATTTAGTTGTGTGTTACAACGTTTTTAGTTTATGATAAATCATAATCTAATGTATTTATCAATACACAGTATCAAACAAAAATATTAAAAATAAAAAAATGTTAGGAACCTTATTACATTTTTGAAAGACATCATGATGTTACATATGCACGCTGCGAGTGTTTGCATTGCATGGGATTGCCACATCCGCAGATGTACTGTACATTTTATTTATAATAAAATTCAATTAAATGTCGTCTTTCACATTAAAATTTAGCTTTTAAATGTTATTATGTCCATTTTATTGTGCACGTTTATTCTGTCTGGTATCTCCATAAAGGTCACACTAAACTGTGTGGGGATTTTTATTTTAAATGAGTTTATTTTAGTTCTCTATATTTATCTGCAGAATTACGTACGTTGAGTCTGTCCATAGCGGTTTAGTTAGTACCTTCCATGGTCTGTCGTACGTGGCATTGGTTTACGTTGATAGGAGATTGTGATAACTGTTATATAGTTTTAGATGAACCTTGATTCAAACTGCTTCGCAAATAGCGTGCTAATAAGTCTACGATTAGTGGATGGGGGAGGGGTGTAAACATATATCTATATTTGCTGTGATCTTCGTCGCGATTGTGGATTTGCTCAATCAGAATTATTGCCGATGAGGCCAGTACGGAGGATTATGATTGAAAAAACGCTCTTTTTTGTTTGTTGAAATTGTTTTGTTCGTGTCGATCGCTGGTGCATCCATCACTGTTTATTGTGTTGCACCAGCTGCCAGAGGATCATACTAGAAAATAGAATGTAACATATGTGCCGAGATTCAGTGGCAATCATGATGCCACGCCACTGTACATCACTCCAGACGTAGTGCGTGGTCTATGCAAGATCTTCTGTGGGAACCATGGCTGACGGTCAGACCAATCAGCCTGCTTTGTCTTGGACGTATATGTACAATTTTGCAACGTCGCGAGGTTACACGTTTCATTGTAACAGTCGACGATCGCTATGTGTAATGCTAATCGCCGTTCTATTGTTGGTCTGGATGTTTTACATGGCGATAAGCAGCATCGGAGGAGATTCGGCTTTTTACGTATATCCCAATATCTACAACGATGCCGAGAGGGATACGTTCCTTTTTGACACCTTCCCAGAAGATTTCATGTGGAGCAGCGCGACTTCCGCATATCAGATAGAAGGGGGCTGGAACGAGGATGGCAAAGGTGTCAGCATTTGGGATGAGTTTTCCCATGATCCAACTCTTATTTATGGGGGACAGTCGGGCGACGTTGCGTGCGATAGCTACCATAAATGGCGCGATGATATCGAAATTTTGAAGGAGATGAAACTAAAAGCCTATCGATTTTCAATCAGTTGGTCTCGACTTCTACCAGACGGTACGGTCAATAGTATAAACGAAGCCGGAATTCGGTACTACAACGAATTGATCGACGGATTACTGGAAGCCAACATCGTGCCAGTCGTTACGTTATATCACTGGGACTTGCCGCTTAATTTGCATAAAAAGTATGGTGGTTGGTTGAATGTTGCAATTGTTCAAGATTTCAATAACTTTGCTAAGCTCTGCTTCATGCGATTCGGCGATCGCGTGAAGAACTGGATCACTCTAAACGAGCCATGGGTTGTGGCTCAGTTGGGTTACGGGAGCTTCGTAAAAGCGCCTGGTATTCTTGGAGACGGGATGAAAACATACATCGCGGCGCATAATTTGATTAAAGCCCACGCCGCCGCATGGCATACATACGATAACGAATTTCGCGCTAAACAGGGCGGCATCGTCGGCATTTCGTTGAACTGTGACTGGGCGGAGCCATATAAACGCACAAACCCCGTGGATGTTGAGGCATCAAATCGATTGTTACAGTTCTTCATCGGCTGGTTTGCTCATCCGATTTTCGTCGACGGTGACTACCCAGAAATAATGAAAACGAGGATCGATAACAAAAGTCGTCTGCAAGGCTATACCGAGTCCAGGCTACCGAAGTTTACCGAAGAAGAGAAACAGTTTATATCGGGTACCTCCGACTTTCTGGGTTTAAATCACTACACGACGACGTACACGGCACCAGCACCAGAAGACAACAGCGTGCCGCCGGGGTGGGGGAAAGACAACGGTGTACAGAAATGGTTCAATAAAAAATGGCCTGGTTCAGGATCGGGCTGGCTGAAAGGCGTGCCGTGGGGGATACGCCGGCTGTTGGAATGGTTGAAAGAAGAATACAATGATCCAGATATTTACATAACTGAAAATGGGTTTTCTGCCAGAGAACCGGAGAATCTGGACGACACTGGAAGGGTACAGTATTACATGTCGTATATTAACGAAGTCTTGAAAGGTAAGTCACGGCGATTAGGCCCCAATTATCACGCGATCTAACACGAGGTTGTGTTATTGACCAACTGTACTAAATTATACGTTTTTATGACGTTAAATAAGTGCCAAAATATGACGATTCAGTTTGTGAATTAGGATGCTCTAGAAACCGTTACACCGATTATAAACGTAGATGGTGCTTTATTATTGAGTATGACATCATATGTAGTATAAATGGTCTTTATTACAACATTTAGTTTCACTAGTAATGGTATATCAATAACGGTTTAAGTTCCCGCTTATATAGGGTTGACTTTCTATAGCTGACGCCAGTCGTCCGATCATTATGATTAAATGTGCCGTACTCTTGACACGATTGCGGATCATGAGTGTGTACAGCTGTGCATGGCATGTACACAATTATTTTCAACATCGTCCGATCTGTTAAAATACAATTACCAGGATTATTTATTAAAGTTACTGTATAACATTCATTAGTTGGTGGTTTAGTTCACTTTTGTCTGGTTGTTAGTTGTATGTCGTCCATTAAAAAAAACAAAAAAACACTCAAAATAACCCAGTTCAGCTTCCACTTCGTGTGCTTGGACAACACCTCGCATCGTTTGGCTACCCGTTTTGGAAATTTGGCTGGATCTTCATTTTTTTGTATTATAATAGTGTTGTAAACATTATTATTTCTTTGTTTCAGCCATCAAATTGGATGGAGTTAAGGTCAAAGGTTACACAGCCTGGTCGTTGATGGATAACTTCGAGTGGGCAGCAGGGTACAGCGAGAGATTTGGATTATATCACGTCGATTTCAACAATCCAAGTAAACCACGTCGGCCGAAGCTTTCCGCCAAACTATATACAACTATAGTGGAAAACAATGGATTCCAAGAAGAGTCGCACGGAACTCTGGAAATGTATCTGGACCCAAATTTATTCGAGTAAAATACGCCCTCTGACAACAATTTGAGTTCGTTACTTCGTTTTGTCGTCAATGCCCGTCACCTTTTGTGTTATTATTTGGGGGTATCGTTAGTGTTAGTGTTAGAAAGCCCCCACCAAAAGACAGATGTCACTAGCGTGTTGACTTAAATTAAATTTAAAAGATCAACAAAATGAGTAGGTGAACTGTAACTGACTTCAAACAGTTACATTTTGTTTTAAAACGATACATTCATTAAATAATAACAATAACTGCAATGAGTAAATCACATCTGTTTTACAACACCCGTTCGTGCCATTGCATACGTCAAACTATAATTCACTGCGAGATCTCGTGTTATGCGTGAAAGTCGCGGTTCGAACGTCTGCCACAAAAACCGAATGATTTGATTTTTAACTGTAATTCCTCATTTCTATATATCAAAATACGCATCTTTCAGGGAGAAATATGGCGTTTAGATATCTTTACGTCTTCGAAATTGACCATCATCATATTTGCATAGCATATTATCCGGCCTGGCACACTGCAGTAATAAGCGCAGAAATCGCTTTCGTCGAATCCAGTGTTTTGACGCCACCCGTGACTTTTGTTTGTCCTGTTTTACGTTCGATATTACGCATAACGCGGGATCTCGCAATGGACGAAAATGAGTAATAATATTTTAAAAGTACAAGGACGTCACGTATCTTTCTTCCATTACTGTAATGACATTACATGAACTCCAAACGACATAATACATGAAGTTCATGTAACTGTATAATGTAATAACATGTTACATGACCGTAGCGTAATTGTTTCATTGTCTTTAATGACGGTAATAACATAATACTAGAACACCGCTTAACTGTGTGCCACTGTCTCCCGTTACGATAATAAAAATTTCATATTATGTATATTTATGATAACATATTTACCTAAAGAAAATAGCAACAGTTCATTCTCGTTTGTCAAAGTCGGAAAATATGACTAAAATAACATAATGCAACATTACGTAATTACATTTGTATAGCTAAAACAATGTAACGTAACATAACATCAGACTATGTATGACATGGCAACGATTCACAGGTTGTACGCGCAAATCACATTTTGATTCGAATCTTCTCTTATTGAACGTAATTTTGTGATTTTTTTATAAAGTTTTTACCGGTATATTTATTATTTAAGGTGACGTGATTCTTCAAATAAAGTGCAATTATTTAACCGATATGTGCGTGACATTTTATCAAGCATCGCCTGTGCATATTTATACAGATTTTACCAACAACATCAAGAATCATGTTTTTCCTATTCACCGTGATGACACTGAAGATATTGATAATTGAATAGATAAGATTAGATCACGCCTGGCTGTGACGTCACGGTGTTAGAATTATTACTGATTCGTCACCTGTGCATGCGTCAGATGACCATAGTGTGTCATTGTTTACAAACAAGCGTCTACTCATGAGCCTTTGCGTTTTTCGCATGTGTTGTTATCGTCGCTTTGAACTCAACTCCCGCGCATGCGCAGGTGACGACCCTCCCGCTTTAAAGAAACCTCGGCGGATACCGGCAGTTTGATATTTTTTAATGATTAAAAAAATGATATGATTTATTCTAAACAAATATAATTCTGTTTTGGCAGCAAACATATCAATATTCGTTTGCTGAAATAATATACACGCTTGTGCGCACCCTCAGAATTACTTCATCTGTGCTTGATCGTCAGTAACATCGTAAACAGGTTTCTCTAAGACCAGTAAAGAGATAAGCATCTACAGCACTATCAGGGGTAAATTCTTCTCCTCTAGGGTTCTCCACACGTGTCCGGGGGGGATCTCGTCTCGTCTCTCTATCGCGTCCCCTTGAAGTACGGGATTGGGGAAGTCACTTAAGCTTTGCAGTCAAATAAGACACACGGCTGATCTGCACTGGCTCGGAAGATGAATTCTGATTGGCTAAAAAAACAAAAAAACTTGTGGCGTTGAATGCACGTTCATTGTCAGTATTGTTATGCAAATTCAAACTAGCTAATCATTTACAACCTTCCGAGCCAGTGCAGATTAGCCCAAGACACACACAGCGAAATACGTTTCAACTTTCGTCTTAGTGGATCAGTCGAGCACTCTATAGGACACAGCGCCCTGGGGAAAAGTCCCCAAGACTATCGCAAGGCTGGCCCAAGACTCGCCCAAGACTGCGTCTCAAGACTCGCCCCAAGACTTTCCAGGACTCTACCAAGACTGCGTCTCTAGTGGTGTACTCGCCAAGACCAACTAAAACAACTTTATTCATTTTCAAAACCTTAACCAATTACAAAGCAGTAAAAAGACTCTAGGGCGTAACCTTCAATCATAAAGCCAATCACACTAAGTACTGAACACGTCATATCTTTTAATTAATCGTTCACGACAATAATAACTACCAATATTAAACTGTCAGAAATAGTAGTCCGAATAGCGACGGTTATCTCGTAATTAGTTCCAAATCACTGAGTCGAGTTCCGCCCAAAACTTCACATGGCCTAAACGGTGCCAGACATGAAACAGCCATTCAGCTAATTATGTCGATTAACAGATACGCAATTTCATCATAGCACATTCAAAATGTGTGGGAAAAGTCGGGCAGGATATCTACGTTTGAACATTTGCAAAAGCAACATCATTCTTGCAATTTTATGTTTCAGCTTGTTCAAAAGTTCTGGGAGCGATGTTCATTTATTTGCGAAGTGTGTGTGTAACTTTCATGACATTGTAAAACATTTCCAGAGTTATTTCAAAGGTTTAATAAAACCCGCTGTGTCGCACACTAGTTTTTAGAAGAGACATTTAAAGAATGATTTAATATTATAGATAATTTCGCAGAGAGAAAAAAAAGTGATAGTTTTCAAGAGATATATGTCTGCAAATAAATATCTCCTCATCATCCCGTGACGTGTGAAGCAGAGAGTTTATTGTATGAATGTTTGATCGAGATCATCACATAACAGGGCAGTATATATGAAAATGGTTGGTTATTGGTTCGTTGTATTTTACATCAGAGCTCCCATCTGAGAAATTGGAGCATAATGACAAGATAAGATGAATGTGGGTTTTGTAATTAGAGCGTTATTATGTACACTTATGTGCCTTCAGAGTCAGAATAGCATTTGATACTCGTATAATAGATATGAAAAATATAACCTTTAACACGACCCGCAATAGCAAGCAGATGACAATCATAGACACGTGTTGAATTGATGACCAGAGTTAACAAACAAATGCACATACCATGACACATAAGTCGTGTTCGCCGTGACACACAACTCGTGTTCACCCCAAGACAACTAACATTAATTATACTTTAGTTGTCAGAGGTTCACCGTTACACACAAGTCGCGTTCATCGTGGTTCACGACACGTGCACACCGTGATACGTAAGTCGCGTTCCCCTCGATACACAACTCGTGTTCACCGTGTTACACAACTCGTGTTCACCGTAATACGTAAGTCGCGTTCCCCGTGATACACAACTCATATTCACCGTGATACACAACCCCCGTGATACACAACTCGTGTTCACCTGATACTCAACTTGTGTTCACCGTGATACACAACTCGTGTTCACCGTGATACACAACTCGTCTTTACTGTTACACACAACTTATGTTCCCCGTGATACACAACTCGTGTTCACCGTGATACACAACTCGTGTTCACCGTGATACACAACTCGTGTTCACCGTGATACACAACTCGTCTTTACTGTTACACACAACTCATGTTCATCGTGATACACAACTCGTGTTCACCGTGATACACAACTCATGTTCACCGTGATACACAACTCGTCTTTACTGTTACACACAACTCATGTTCACCGTGATACACAACTCGTGTTCACCGTGATACACAACTCGTGTTCACCGTGATACACAACTCGTGTTCACCGTGATACACAACTCGTGTTCACCGTGATACACAACTCGTGTTCACCGTGATACACAACTCGTGTTCAACGTGATACACAACACGTGTTCACCTGATACACAACTCGTGTTCACCGTGATACACAACTCGTGTTCACCGTGATACACAACTCGTGTTCATCGTGATACACAACACGTGTTCATCGTGATACACAACACGTGTTCACCGTGATACACAAATCGTGTTCACCGTGATACACAACACGTGTTCACCGTGATACACAACTCGTGTTCACCATGATACACAACTCGTGTTCACCGTGATACACAACTCGTGTTCACCGTGATACACAACTCGTCTTTACTGTTACACACAACTTATGTTCCCCGTGATACACAACTTGTGTTCACCGTGATACACAAATCGTGTTCACCGTGATACACAAATCGTGTTCACCGTGATACACAACACGTGTTGACCTGATACACAACTCGTGTTCACCGTGATACACAACTCGTGTTCACCGTGATACACAAATCGTGTTCATCGTGATACACAACTCGTCTTTACTGTTACACACAACTTATGTTCCCCGTGATACACAACTCGTGTTCACCTGATACTCAACTTGTGTTCACCGTGATACACAACTCGTGTTCACCGTTATACACAACTCATGTTCACCGTGATACACAACTCGTGTTCACCCGATACACAACACGTGTTCACCCGATACACAACTTATGTTCACCGTGATACACAACTCGTGTTCACCGTGATACACAACTCGTGTTCACCGTGATACACAACTCGTCTTTACTGTTACACACAACTTATGTTCCCCGTGATACACAACTCGTGTTCATTGTGATACACAAATCGTGTTCACCGTGATACACAACACGTGTTCACCTGATACACAACTCGTGTTCACCGTGATACACAAATCGTGTTCATCGTGATACACAACCCGTCTTTACTGTTACACACAACTTATGTTCCCCGTGATACACAACTCGTGTTCACCGTGATACACAACTCGTGTTCACCGTGATACACAACTCGTCTTTACTGTTACACACAACTTATGTTCCCCGTGATACACAACTCGTGTTCACCGTGATACACAAATCGTGTTCACCGTGATACACAACTCGTGTTCACCCTGATACACAACTCGTGTTAACCGTGATACACAACTCGTCTTTACTGTTACACACAACTTATGTTCCCCGTGATACACAACTCGTGTTCACCGTGATACGCAAATCGTGTTCACCGTGATACACAACACGTGTTCACCGTGATACACGACTCGTGTTCACCGTGATACACGACTTGTGTTCACCGTGACACACGACTCGTGTTCACCGTGACTCACGACTCGTGTTCACCGTGAATAACGACTTGTGTTCATTGTAACACAACTTGTGTTCACAGTGATACACAACTCGTGTTCACCGTGACACACAACTCGGGTTCACGTGATACACAACTCATGTTCACCGTGATACACAACTCATGTTCACCGTGATACACAACTCGTGTTCACCGTGATACACAACTTGGGTTCACCTTGATACACAACTCATGTTCACCGTGATACACAACTCATGTTCACCGTGATACATAACTCGTGTTTACCGTGATACACAAATCGTGTTCACCGTGATACACAACTCGTGTTCACCATGATACACAACTCGTGTTCAGCGTGATACACAACTCGTCTTTACTGTTACACACATCTCATATTCTCGTGATACACGAGTCGTGTTCACCTCAATACTCAAATCGTGCTCGTCGCGTGGACAGTAGACCGGGTCTACCGAGAGGTCGACCATTCGATAAATAAACAGATTAAAAAAAGATTGCGTTCGAACAAGGTACGTTTGGCGGTTACAAGCACACACAATCAGTTCGTACTCTAAATGAGACTTCTATGTACTTCAAAGCATGTCAAGGTATCTGGTCTTATCTAAAAGTCACAGCAAAACAACACCTAGTAACACTACCATTTCTCTGCCCATTCTGGACATGTCATCCCAACCATCTACCCCCCCCCCCTCCATGGTATTTGTATATTTATAAAGCAGGTGAAAAATAATGTCAGATCACACTCCATGCAGTTTTCATTGACTTGACCACATAAGGGTCAATGAACTTTTGTCAGATGAGGAAAGTTGATAAGACGAGCCAGCAAGAGCGTTGGTCGGCGTATACACGGGTACTTAGAATCTGGAATATTTTCTGCATGTTTACTGTCAATTTTCATAAATACAGTCCAGTGCGGTGACTTCTTCTCGTCAATGCAGTGTCAGTGATTTCTGCTTTATTCGGGTCACAACCTGCAAAATGATAACATTTCTTAGTAGTAAGTCAGAGTTGAATAACGCACGTACATACAGATAGAGATAACTACTAACCACACATCGTCTCGAGCATCTCAATGACTTTAAGATATCAATCAGATGTACTTTTTGATAGTGTTATCGGTGTTTTGAACTCGCTAGTACTTTGGACATCCACATTGTATTTTGTTATGCATATTTGAACTTTTATGCCCGTAACGGAAAAAAAAAATAAAAAAAAATCAGTTGATAGCAAGTTTACCCCTCATGTACTTTATTCATGTTTGGGACCTGCTTCTTATTATGAAAACAGTGGTATATGACGTATTTTACCACAGCTTGCGTCATTAAATAACATACTTTCGACCAATCAGGACGACGTAGTAATCAGGCAATTGAAATGCTAATATGAGGATAATATTAACCCTGAGTGGAGTGACCCAAGATTGGAGATTATCTTATCCCTGAGTGGTCATAACAACAAATGAACAATATATCCCTGAGAAGCCCCAAGAATGAAGAAAATATTATTATCCTTGAATGGAGATATCACAAAATGTAGTTACGTAGTATAGTAATTTTTGTTCAAACTATGTTGTTTTGACTACATTCTGGTGAATTATTCATAAACTTGATTCCATGTTTCTAGAAATTACAGTACTGTTTAATATGTTTCGAAGAAAAAAAATGGGGCGTTAGATCTTTGAAAATAAAAGTGGTAGTTAGAAATGGGTGCCATTGTTGAAAGGCGCGCCAAGGACATTTATGTTAATGATTGTTACAACTGACCGATATCAGCTGAATTATCAAACACAACTCTTTGCTTATACCGCGACAGAGTGCGCCTTTGTTCACACCCACCGCACACCCATCTGCGTGAAAACATCATGCTGCCGAAGATGCTGATCTTGGTAACTTTGATGTTGCTACCCGTTGTGAGCAATGCCGATGATCCATACTATGTCTACCCTGATGTGTTCAACGATCCAGAAAGAGATGCGTTCTTATTCGGAACTTTCCCAGAAGGTTTTATATGGAGCAGCGCCACGTCGTCTTACCAAATAGAAGGGGGCTACGACGCGGACGGCAAGGGGTACAATATTTGGGACACCTTCGCCAACACACCTGGCAATATTGCCAACAACGACACCGGTAACATCGCGTGCGACAGCTACAATAAGTGGGAGGAAGATGTTCGCATAATTAAAGAACTCGACTTGGAGTATTACAGATTTTCGCTCAGTTGGTCTCGAATTTTACCCGACGGTACGGCGGACAATGTCAACCAAGCTGGTATCGATTATTATAACAATCTCATCGATGGCCTTTTGGCGGACGGCATCACCCCGATGGTAACTCTATATCATTGGGATCTGCCCCAAGACTTGCAAGACGACTATGGTGGTTGGTTGAACGAAACTATTATCTATGACTTTGGCGAATACGCCAGGGTGTGCTATGAAAACTTTGGGGACCGCGTTAAGTTATGGCTGACATTGAACGAGCCGTGGATTATTGCACAGCTAGGGTACGGATGCGGCGGGTTTGCTCCTGGTGTATGCGCAGATGGCACGGGTTCCTACGTAGCAGCACACAACTTGATCAAGTCACATGCCAAGGCTTGGCATATCTACGATGATGATTTCCGCGCCACCCAGGCAGGTAGAGTAGGTATAACGCTGAACTCTGACTGGATGGAACCCTACAACAGGAGCTTGGAAACGGACCTAAATGCCGCCGAGCGTGCTCAGCAATTCCATCTAGGCTGGTTCGGCCACCCAATCTTCGTCGATGGCGACTACCCAGAAGTGATGCGGGAGATGATAGATTACAGCAGCGAGGTGCAAGGATACAACGAATCGCGTCTTCCAACATTTACCGCGCTTGAAAAGGAGTACATTCTTGGTTCGTCCGATTTCTTTGGACTGAACCATTACACCACTGGATATGCCAGTAAGCCAGACGAATGGGTAATCAGCGATAACCCGAGCTACTACAACGATTACGCTGTAGATTTCTGGAAAGACCCCGAATGGCCATCCTCGGGTTCCGACTGGTTGAAATCGGTGCCGTGGGGTATCAGAAGATTATTAGAATGGATAAAAGACGAATATGGAGATCCTGAAATTTACGTCACTGAAAACGGATTTTCGACTAAGGATATCGACGATCTCAACGACCCGGACAGAATAGACTACTACCAGTCCTACATTGACGAAGTTTTGAAAGGTAACAATAATTTGCAGTGGCGGCACATGGGGGGTTGGGGGTCATAAGGGCGGTCACCCCTCGAAAAAATTTTGGGTGGTCGCCCCTCTAAAATCAAGCTGAAACCCTTTGTGTCAGCAAAATTTGCCTCTCAAAATGCAGGAAATAGCGTTTCAGATGGTCTAGATTTAATAATTGTTAGGGGGAGCATGCCCCTGGACCCCCTAGTACGGTCTTGCCTTTGGCGCGAGGATGATGAGCAGATCTCGCTCCTCTATGCTAAATTTCGTGCCGTCACCGCTGATTGAGACTATTTATCTTCGAAAATACATTCATCCAAATCGCACAAGACCAGGATTTTCAAATAATCTACACGATTGTTTATGAATTTTGAGCTACAGTAAATGGCAGAAAGCTGGGAATATTCTGCACGTTTTATAAATATACAGTTTCAAATTGAACAATCCAGAAATGGTGTTGTAACACCATCGTTAAATAATATTAATAAACTAGTACAATACTATCGAATCAGCAAGCACTTTATTTCAAACAAGTGTGTCACGTGGTTGCAGTTGTTATGTCACGCGAAGGCACGAAGGCGCACTGTTAAATATTTGAATTTAAATGAAATCTGATAATCAGTAGTGTATATCATGATAGCATGTAAATGTTTTATGAATTCCAAATAGCGATTGAAAACAACATATCAAATTCCACTGCAGACAATTAACCTTTAACCCTTTCTATTAGTAAACATAGTTACATTTCGCAATTTAACGTGTTGTGGCAAACGATGATATTACTTATACTTTTTTTTAATTGTTTTTAATTATTTCATTTGATGAGATCTATTTGCGTTCACAACAGATCCATGCTAGCAAATGGTTTATATAGCCAATGAAAACACCTTTTTTGAATATGACACGAAGATCATTCGGGATAAATATTTCATAAAACAAATTCACGCCTTCATGAAACTCAGTGTACATTTTTTGGTAGTAAGAGTTCCTCAGGGACCTCACCTATAACTATAATCTTAACCCTGCCTTCCAGTACCCCTCTTTCATTTCAATAATATATATAGATTATATATATATTTTTTATAAATATGTTTATAAACTGAGATACAGAGATCTGCCTTTCACTGTAATATTTATATGAAGCATTATATTAATTAGAATCCATGAACATTAGATGTAGCCTTTAGGTACCTCTCCCATCACTAGTATATGCTCTTTCCACTAATAACACATATTTTTGTATCACAATCTAGCAATTGAAATGGACGGAGTTAATGTGAAGGCCTACACTGCATGGTCTTTGATGGATAACTTTGAATGGGCAGCAGGCTACACAGAACGTTTTGGTATGCACCATGTTGATTTCGACGACGACGACAGACCACGGACACAGAAAGATTCTTCGTTATTTTATGCTACGGTCAAGGCAAATAACGGATTTCCAAAGCCAACTGAAGAGCCAATAACGGAAGAACCAGCAGTTGCAGGGTCGTCACATCTCGGTCTCACTATAACTTGCTTTCTGCCTTTCGTCAATTTTTGCTTACGCAAATTTATACTATGATCGTATTTTACTTTTATACTTTTTTATGCCGCATTTGAATGGTCGACAGCAACTCGAGAAATTGACCATATTCTGGAAAACTAAATTTTGTCTGAGTTACTGACCATTATATGTTGATGGGCCATTGTTACACAGTGCCCTTATGATGCATGTTTATACCAAATAAAACAGTTTTATTCATACTGGTTGTTTGTGAACAGAACGGTTATTTCCTACACTGCACACGCAATGGCGTCTAACACAGACTGGCGCCGGAGAATTAGATAAGGACATAAATTTCAAATTACACTTCATAATACGTGTATCGTGATACTCATCAGGCATCATGTCGATCGACCTCATTGACACTAGTAATTAATAATATAGCAGCCCCGGGTCAACTAGGCTATTCAGTTGTGGATCCCAGATAACCTGGGAGATGACCGCGATGTCTCGTCGTGGCCCTAGCCACGGTGTCCAATCGTATCATTCACTGATCATTGCTACCAGATAACCGCCACGAGTCTCTGATAACCACGATGCCATGTCATTGTTCCAAATAAAAAGGGCGTGTAAGAGAGAATGACCGATGGCGCATAAAGTTGGCATACTGGGTGTGTCAAATTCAGCCATAACGTTGATGTAATTGTTACTAATTTAATACAGCGGGCGCAAGCTATTTACATACACCTAACTCCCGCATCCGAGAGGCAATTACCGAGGGACTTTGCAACATCCCCAGGCACTTCCCTAGTATAGACACTCCAATGACCCTTGTAGACTAAGTAACAGTTAATCAAAACACCGGACGCGGAATGCCTTTGATGTGTGACCACGAGGAACGAGGGGTAGTTGGACTATTCCATTGCTTTGTAGATACACAAATCATTGCTGTTAACACTTGGGAGAATTATAATACGAAAATTAAACTGGAAATAAATATTAAAAAGAAATGATAAATCTAAATTCTTTTGATTAGTAGTTTGTTAATATATTGTCAATGGATTTATATTAATAATATTAGCATTGTGAGTGTACCGAAACTGGCATCTAAGCGTTAGGCCGTCGCTGATTGGCTGCTGTGCTGGAATTCCAATTTTTAGTTTCAAAAACCCGGCTTAGTGTTCTATGT